TTTAATTAGGAGCTTTGGAGTCTGTTCAGATTTTTGTTGATACCAGTATATCTGCTCTTCACCACTAGACCATCTGCGAACAGCTTGGCTGGTCCTACAGGTCAGAGTGACAGTGTTTCCAGGAGTAAATGTCACTACCGGAGGTTGAGTCACAGTCACCTGACCCACCAAGACTGACAGACTTGACTTCATCAGTCTGAGTCAGAAAATTATTGGCAAATGACTCTGAAATGAAGAATAAAATGACAAGTTTGTTTTTTAGACACAAACCTAAAAAGAACAAAGAAAATTTCATCAAATGTAAAACAGTCTGTGTCTTAAATGTGAGAATCTCTCACCCTGAGAAAGCCTAACAAAAGAACCACCAACATTGGAAACACCATCCTGACTCAGTTTTCAATGAAAGTGCATGAGAGCGTGTGTGACAGCAGAACTTAAACTGTGAGGAGCAGTAATGCATGAAAGTGTGCAAAACCCATTTTAGGAGGTCAGCTGAGGAGAGGATCATTCAATCTTTTCATTCTACATGTATTTCAAAAAAGAAACTTATAAATAGTGTTTTAAAGCTTTTAAATTGTAAACTTATCTAATATTAGTTTGTTGTTTGAATAATTTAGTCCTGCACAGCTCCTGTAAAACCCTGTGATGAAGGGTTTACTCCACAGAAACCAGGTATTTGATATTTTAAACCATGTACAGGTGAATTGGATCTTTCCAAAAATAAAATAAATTGTTTTGTTTTGTTTTGTTTTGGGTTTTTTGTTTGTTTGTTTTAGTTTAATTGTTTTTCTGTTTGTTTTTTGTTGCTTAGATTGTTTGTTGGTTGCTCTTTTACCCATGAGCATACTGTTAGGTTAGTCTTCTAACTCCAGTGATGTGGTGAGTTCCCTTCCAATTACGTCCAAAAAGCTCATTTTAGTCAATTTGTTATATTATGTCTACCAGAGTGTGTTGCAGTTACTTTGATGACAAAACATTCAGTGTGACAGGGATAAAACAATATTACTATTTTGCATACCAGTCTTGTTAAAAAATGAAAATTATAGCATGGGTCAGTGAGAACACCTGCACCTGTGAAGTCTGGGTGGTGCTTGTTTTAATGAGTTATCATTACCATGGTATTAAATTACAGATTATTTACACAGAAAACGTCACATGTGTTTCCTGGTAGTCATTGCTATTCTGTAAGTTTGTTATAAAACAGTATTAATGTTGTTATTAATGTGTTAATAAATACAAAGAAACAGTTTTCCATGTTGCAGCTCTGCTTTTTTCTTATTTCTGTTTATTTCCTGCTGAAACTACCAGGAAATGTTTTCAAATAGGTTATTAATATGTTATTATATAGAAACAGGCAGCTTTGTATTTTGCATGCTTACACAGAAACTACCACAGGTAATTGAGTGGTAATAGCTTAGAAATTAACATATTATTATTTTCTTTTTCTGCCTTATTATACTACTACTAACACCATTTATTGATAAAAATGCCATCGCAAAGTTCTCTATTATATTATATTTATAGTCTCTGCATTGTTGGAAATCATTCATATGGCTCTCTACTTACATTTTGTTCAGGTCAGCTGACCACAGCTACACACACATACACACAAGCAAAAGCAATTTACTGGAGCTCACAACACAAATTATGATGTGACTTATTTCTAAGTAATTATTTTCCCCACACTGCACCTCAACACCCACTCTTAGGGCTCCCCCTCCTTCAAATTTTCACTTTACTGTCTGGTTGACTCATGTTTGTCAGCATAGCACAAACTTTTTGCAAGTTAAATTCTCTTTATGATATCTTAGGTTTTGTTTGTTTGGGGGGGGGAGGGTGTTTGTTTTTTTTTACATATAATGACAAACACAATGAGTTCAATTTATTATTTACAATTAAAACTGTAAATCCTTATGTTAAAATGCCCTTGAATGTGTTTATTTCTCAGTGAAGTTACTGTGAGGCCTGTGTTCAGTGGTCTGTGCCAGAGTCTCTTCTTAGCTGCAGTCAGTTCCTGCTGTAACAGCTCAGTGTCTCTGCAGTCTGACTGAGGGAGGTTTTTGTACGACTACAAATCACTGTGTGAACACCCAAGCACTGTTTATGTTATGTT